CTGGGAGTTGAAGTCCACACATCTTAGAGTTGTCAAGGTTGAGAAACACTGGCCTACATGCTTCCAGAAGGCAGGCAAAAATTAAAAATTAAAAAAAAAACTGAAAAATTCTGTCTCAGTTATAACAGAGAAAAAGCATTCTTGCAGACAGGTTCTCTCTGAAAGCTAACTGGAAATATTATTCTACCTGGAAAAGATAATGCCAAATTGCCACATATGACCTATGAGCAGGAACAATTTCATGGAGATGTAGCATTCATTCAGATTTCTGGATGAAGTTGGCATGCAAATGTGCAAATAAGACAGTTGGATTAAATTATCGTTTATACTGGCAACACCAAGGGAAGGGTGATCATTCTCCTGCCTTATCTCTTCTCCTAAGCAAATGTGTTTTCAACAAAAATATCTAGACACTGCCAGGAAGATATGGTATTCTTGCATAATCTTTGATCTCTGGAAACTCAAAAGTATCTTAAAAACTATTGCTTAAATATTCTGATTAACTCCCCACTACCCTTCTCAGTCTCTTACATTCTAAAACCATAATTAAAACTATTTAAAAACACAATGTTTAGTGCTTTGCTAGAGAGAAAAGTGAGTCAATTTCAAATATTGGAAATAGTTCTTCTGGCCTCCTTGGAGAGAATTTGTCTATTGCATATTTCAGTGGTCAAGAATTCACATAAGCAGAGGTAAGCAACTGGGCCTCATTCTCTAGAATTTGATTGTTTTAATATAGTACAGTTGCCTGGGGTCATGCAACACTCTTAAGCCAAAATTGAATAAAGAACATACTGGCTTAGCGTGTTGTATCAATCCAGGCACTGTTGACGTCCTTGATAGTGTTGTACCTCATTTGATAATGGAACACTTGATCCACTTACTGGAAATAACTATTGATGATATGATACAATGATGATATTCTTGTACTTTTTTCTGTCTAGGAGTGTGTTATGAACAATATTATCTCCACTAGAGTGTATGAGAAAGCATGAAAAATCCATATTGTACAAATTGGCAGGATCCCAAAGCAAAACATGAAGCTTGGTTCAGGGAGCAGAGCCTTACCAATCATGTTCTTCAGAAGCTGAATTTGACGGGCCAGCTCCCAACTACTTTTGTACCTAATCCGAAATATTTTGGTTATTCAATAAAGTGTTTACCTTGAGATGGAAAAGTGTCTGGCTTTTTTTTAATTGTGGAAGCTGAATAAGGATCATTCCCAATGAGATTTTCAGGTTCTGTTTGTGGGATCAATGAAGCGTCACTACTCCATATTTATTGAAATATAAAATACTGAGTCCAGTAATTAATGGAATAAGCCAAAGAGCAATTGCCCTGCCACACCTATAGTTTTGTAGTGTGTTCATTGGAAATCCTGTTGTCTCTCTACTGCTGTGTTTGCTGTTTTACTTCCTATAGAAAAATCCATTTTAAAAAAGCTGGAATAGCTATATGGGGGCTTCTGGGTAGTGGTGTCAGGAATAATCTCAGGAGCATATTTTGTTAGAACACGTTTCTAGGACTCTTCCTGAGAATAAATTAATGTCTTTTGTTCCAAGAGTTGCCCATATTGGTTGTCTTAAAATGTGTTTAAAGCAGAACTCAAAGTTTTGAATTACATTTGAAAATCATGCTGTGGATTTGCACATAAAGTGACCACCATGATAGACATAGCCAGCATGAATATATTCATTTACCAGAACATAGGGAGATTGATTCCTTCTAAATTCCACTGATCTCTGCCATCCCAGTTTACTTTTCTCTGAGCTGGTGGGCACATTTCCTAACAAAGCACTGGCTGGTGTAGTCACTCAATTTTCTCTCCCCCATCTAAGAATGCTTAGGGGTTCCAGAAGCAGTCAAAAGTAAAAGATGAAGCTGGCATTTAACTTACAAGAATCAGCTTCCTGTTCAAGTATTTATAATATAGAAAGGGAGGTGGGGAAGGGAGCCTACCAAGCACCGAGACAGATGCAAGTAGATCCCCTGATGGAGGTCCAAGAGGGGATAGGATTCCATTTTTGTAAAAAAAAAAAATCATTTTCAAGTTATTTGAAAATGAAAAAATCATTTTCAAGTTTTCAAGTTAAATACACTTTATAAAGCATCCTGCGAAAGAATTATGTCATCTATAGGTTGGTGATGCCATGGCTTGGGGCAGAGATCATGCTTCAGATGAACACAGTGTCTGTATTACAACAAAATGACTCAGCTTTTCCAGCCAGCATTGTCCTAACCAAGTAAGTGCAAATACCTGGAGCTAGCTCCCTTTCACCCAACCTTTGTTTGATCATGAGTCCAGAATGCTAAGAAAGAATTGATCATTTAAAAATATATATATAAAGATATTCCTCTCTGAGGTACTGTTCAAGTTTTATTAACTCTAAAAAGTTATAAGCATTTACTTCTATTCAAAAAGAAGCAGGTCCTTAGAAAATCATGGCATCAATTCAAGAATTCAGCTTGCTTTTGGTGCCCTGCTGGACTCCTTTCCAACTACCTGCCCTTATTTTTCCTCCTTTATACTGTATCAGCATCAGTGTGGGAGGATCATGTTAGGGCATTATATAAACAGGAAGAGCCAGCTGAGCTTGACTTAAAGTTTAATTCTTTTGCTCAAAATTTGTTCCATTTAAAAGCACCTCTAGTCATATACTTCTTGTACATAGGTTGTTGGGACCCACGATCGTGCTGTTGGTATAGATGTGGAGGAAGACTAGACATCTGAGATTGTTGTAGGGTCTGGTTCCCACATTGGTATCATTGTCAATACTGTACTTTCTCAGCTACTAGGTGGCAGGTCTGCACTTGCATACTGACAATACCTACAGTAATGTGAAGCAGATTCTAACAAGCACCAAGAAACAATAGGACAATGATGCCATCACAAAAGAATTGATGGACACTAATCTGACATCATGGGGGAAGGAGTTGAAATTTGGAAAGGGATTCCTTAAGCAAGCTTCATTTCCAGCCAGTTTATGCACAGCAGACAAGCAACTGAAGGCTGCATTGTGGAAGGATCTATACCATGTAGAAAATCAGCAGAGAAAGTCAGATGCATATTTCTTGATTGTATCTTAATTTAGATTTGGCACTACTTGGACCACCATCCAGGATAGGTAAAAAAAAAGGAAAAGTGAATGTCATATCTTGTTCTTCAGCAGCTAAAACCTGCACACTTAATATGAAGTAAATTCTGGACTTTACTACTGAAATATGAATTTCACATTTTTAGCCGTTTAGAAAGATAAGAGGCTTGGGAGTAGTACATAGAGAAGGAGTTTGGTATCTTGCTGAACCATAAGCTGAATGTAAGCCAAAACTATGATATAGCTGTTATGAACACACACATCCATACACAATATGGCATCTTAAGCTATGTTAACAAAAGCAAAGTCTCTTACACTGGAAGAAACAGCTGTTATTCTGCATTAGGCTGCATTTGGAGTACTGTGTTAAGTCTTAGACATCATATTTTATGAATAATGTTGACAAAAGGAAATATATGCAGAGATAGGTGATTGGGATGATGAAGGATCCAGAAAACAAATCCAATAAATAAGCAATGCTTATTTATTCATTTCTTTTTCAAATGTATATATGTCATCCATCTCACTCTACAAGTGACTCTAGGTACCATTACAAGTAAAAAAAACTATAAAATCTTATTAAAAAATATACAAGTAATTATACAAGGTTAAAATGAAAACTAAAAAGTTAAAACTACAAACAAAAAAGATGGAGAGAGCATCCTCAAACTACCAACCACCTCCTTACCACAGTCTTCAAATAACTGAAAAGGCACCATAAAGAAGTTCTTCCCTGTTGCTCCAGATGAGAAGACTACAGCCAACCTCCTCCCTGAGATAAAGTCAAGAGGCTGACCGACAGGAAGAAGCTTTTCTGCAGAAACCTCTTCCATCTCTTAGAACAGTGTTTCTCAACCATGGCAGCTTTAAGATGTGTGGACTTCAACTCCCAGAATCCCCCAGCCAGCCATTCTGGGAGTTGAAGTCCACTCATCTTAAAGTTGCCAAGGTTGAGAAACACTGTCTTAGAACTATAGAAGGAGGCCTCAAAAGTGAGGAAAAGCAAAATAACACAGATGGCAGCTTTAAGATGTGTGGACTTCAACTCCCAGAATCCCCCAGCCAGCCATTCTGGGAGTTGAAGTCCACTCATCTTAAAGTTGCCAAGGTTGAGAAACACTGTCTTAGAACTATAGAAGGAGGCCTCAAAAGTGAGGAAAAGCAAAATAACACAGATGTTTCACTTTGCTTTTAGAAGTGAGGGAGACAGGTTACTTCACAGACCATAAAACTTGGAAAGGATGCTTCATGGAATCCTTCAGTGAAGCAAAACTTTGTGCCTTCAAAGCTTTGCACAGGTCTACTAAACATTGGGATAAACTTCTTAGCAGTAAGAACGTTGTCATGGGTGTAACAGAATCTCCTTTGCTGGAGATAAGGCAGAGGTTGGAAAACCATCTCTTGTAGTTCTGCATTCCTGATTGTACAAAGTTGGGCTGAATTACCTCTAAGGCCATTCTGTGATCTGTATTATCAGTGTTTTAGATGAATGTGTTCCCAGGAAGAGGAAGTGTTGATATTATATAAACTATAGCACTGTACTCTCAACATTCTGAAACATCTTGACTTTAAGACCCCCTAGCATGTTGACGTTCGGATAATGATGATACTGTAAGTAAGTTTGAAATGTGTTTCTTGCCTACAGTGTACAACCTTTTCTATCCTAAACACTATTTCATCTGCATTTATTTCTTTAATGGCTGTATTAAATTTACTCCTCGTCCTCATAAGATATTCCTAAAAACTAAATGCTGTCCTCCCCAGGGGCACTAAGTTGCATCTGTGCTCCAGCACAATGGTAGCAAGCTCACGCCCATCACCCTTCTGCTTTGTATCACTACGGAGGAGTTGGTGGCAGGCAAATGCTGCTAGTCTTGGTACTAGCATGAATGGCGTGGCACAAGGGCCCATTGTTTGGCCTCTGATATTGCCCTTCTGCATTGGGAGGTGCTGAGCACTGCATGTCCTAGGCCTCTCTTAAAAAGACGTGGCTGGGATATGTACCATTCATATAATCCATCTGCCTCTTCCTAAGAATTGCTCCTGTCATCGCTCTTCTCCCAAGGACACACTGCCAGCAAAACTATGTGCAACAAATTTGTGGGAAGCTGGAAACTCATCTCTAGTGAAAATTTTGATGATTACATGAAGGAATTGGGTGAGACTTGTCTTGATTTGATTTTTAAAATGTTGCGGTTTGTCAGTTGTTGATTTCTTTTGAGAGCTTTGCAATTAGATCATGAAACATTTAACTTAAGCCCCTTCAAAATAATTTTTTAAAATAAGAGAGAATTTTTAAATTTCTTCTTTTGTAATAACCTTCCTAGAATTTTTTTCTTACCTTTTGTTATAATATTAAATGAATATGTTACTTGTCGTTACTTCCAAATCATTATTCATGATGGAATAATGAAAAACTTCATCTGGTATTGGGAGATTGGAGGTGGGCTGCTAATAAATTTAAATAAATAAACCTAAATTTCCTGGTACCCAGTTTTTACTGTGAATAAAATTACTTGTTCCACAGAAGTTGTAGATATAACTCTTTGGTGCATATTCTTTAACTGGTCTTAATGCTAGATTTCTAAAAGTAATCTTATTCTAGGGCTTTGTAAATCACCATATAGATGATTCTATATATAAATAATAGGTGAAACCCAGGCTTCTTATGGGATGTAATTTAAATCAACGGGATGTAATGTAAATATATTCATTTGCAGAATTACTGAATCGCTGAAGGGTTTTAACTAATGAAGTCAGATACCTCTGGGATATATTTTTGGTTCTTTATTTTGTCCAAAGAATTATGTTTTAAGGAAGTTTATATGGATTAAATATTAAGGTTTGCTGTTTATGAGTTAAATATGTTTCATTCAAATAAGACTTAAAATAACTATTGTATTATTTTTGAACATGAAGTAAAATTTGAAACAAGAGAAAGGGAGACTATGTGCATTACTATTTGTTTTTCTACAGAATGCTAATTTGGTTTCTTGTAGGATCAATATACTTAAGAAGATATGTGCTTCCAGACTGCTTTTTTAACCTACGAAAATGCACCTTTAAAAAAAATGGAAATTATATTTAAGTGTGGTGAGGTTACCAGATCTGGGCTGCAAATATCCACATGAACAATAGAGGGCAGCCGAGAGTTAGGGTTTCCTATATCTTTTTGCTGCCATCAGATAGTCATCTGTATTTTTATAGCCCACATATGCTTTATATATACATCACCAAGCAGTACCCACCATAGTAAGCAATCATGCATCTTTGTAAAAGCATCATCATAGACCATACATCAGAGAGGGAATGTGCATATTGCCTCAAGGTAACACCTCAAATGCAATAAGTTTCAGGTAGCTTCTGCACGCATACAGGTGCACACATCTGGTGCAGAAGACTCAATAACTAAAAGCAGATCTTGCCTGTTGATGTAATGGTATGTGGGAATGACCTTGAAAGACAGGAGGTAGAGCTTTAGACTGGACAACCAGCATGTAAAAAATGTCTCAGTCCACTGAAGAAGGGAGAGGTTGTGGGAAACGTTACTAAAGGGACCCTCCCCAGTTTTTCAGAAAGTAAAAGGAAAGGAGGGGAGACACACTTTCAATATTGCAAGATTCTGTTAATGTAATCTTACAATAAAGATACAGCTAGTACCCTTGGTTGTGCTTCTTGTCTAGACTACTTTGCAGGGCTAACATTTCGTCTGGGAACTGACCCTGAAGATGTTACCTAGCTGGGCAATGAAATATCTGCAAGAAAACAAACAGGTTCAGAGAACCGCAAGGTCTCTGCAACTGACTCTTCATATAGAGAAGATAGCATAGAAAAGCAGTTCTTTCTGCCTTGGCTTCCATTTTTTATTTTATTTATTTAAATTTATTATTCATTTGATGCCACTATTTTAGCTTTTCCTAACCAGGCACTCTATAGACATACATGTTGGAACACAATTCCCATTGTCCCCTGCCAGCTGTTGCTTAGGGTCACTGTAGGAGATGAAAGGTGTATACATGGGGAGGGTACTGGGTTATGAATATGTTTTCACAGAAATACACATTTTTATTTTTTTATTTTTTTATTTAATAGACTTGTCCCCACCCATCTCCCCACAATGGGGGACTCTGGGCGGCTTACATCAAATTAAAATCATAAATAAATGATTAAAAGTTATAAAAGAACTTTATTTGTCTTACTAGGTACACAAATAAATGCTGCCTTTTAAATATAATTCTGTGAAGAATGCAGATAGGTAATAACCCTCTGGCACCCTCCATCAAATATATTATTTCTTTCTTTTATTGAAGTTTTTCAGAAATAATGGATGTTGATAACGTGCATAATACCGGGAAAAAAAAATCTCATTTTCTTGTCAACATTACTGTTTTCTTGGTGTTCTATAGGAGTGGGATTGGCCACCAGGAAACTTGGCAACTTGGCAAAACCTAAAGTCATCATCAGCATGAAGGGTGATGAGATCACAATCAAAACGGAAAGCGTCTTTAAAAATACACAGATCGCATTTAAGTTGGGTCAAGAATTTCAAGAAACCACAGCAGATGGCAGAAAAACCAGGGTGAATAGGTTTCCCTTCCATTTTATCTGTGAAATTAGAGGCATGTTGATGCTCTTAGGAACACTGTAAGAGTTTCAGATCACTGAGCAAATAAATAAGTGGGACATGCGGGTAACAGTTGCCAATTGTCTAACTTACCTTCTCAGAGTTCAGCCCTGATGTGGGAAATTCTCAGAAAAGTGTTGGATGTGTTTACAATGTATTTCAGAAAGAAAAGGAAGGAAAATGTCTTGTAAATGAAAATGTTTGTAACTTCCTTTTTATAATTCTATAATACAGCTACTGTATCTGGGCTGCAAAAATTAAGATGACCACTTGAGGGCTGCATAGAGGTAGAGAAAACTAGCTTTGCTGCCAACTAGTGGACACTGGATTTTCCAGACTAGATTTGGCAGATCTACATAATACTGTGGCATTGATACAAATAGAGCAGAATCAAGAAGGGCCCCAAGGACTGTAAAAAAACACAAAGCATAATTCAAAGGAGACAAAGCAAACAAGCTCCAAACCAAAACAGGCATGTGAGAACTGAGCATATTCAGTAGTCATGGAATGTTTAAATCGTGTGGAAGATAAAACGGAAAAATGGAAAGAGGAACCATCAAGAGTATATGATGAACATATGGAATATATGTTGAGGGCCATTTGTTTGTGATTGCAATAGCAGAAAACATAATTGGCATGTTATTCCTAATAAAACTCTGGCTATTCAATATGAAATACAAGAGCAAAACTCAAGAATGCAAGTGACTGCTTATGGCAGAACAACAACAAGAAGAAAAAAGATTCAGAAATAGCAAAATGGATATTGGGAACAGCTTGACTGCTGGTGACTCCATGAACTCATCTATATTGTTTTCATGGCAACAGTACAAAAGTAGTTTGCCATAGCTTTCTTCCAGGGGGCTTTTTTTACTTCTTGGTTTAATCTCTTGCCCTGGTATTTCTTGGTAGCCCATCATCCAAGTCCTGCTTAGCTTTATAATGATCAGCCATCATTGTCAGCTAAGTACTGCGATCCACTATGACAAGCAGGATATATGCCTCCCTCTCTCTCTCTCTCTATCTTCCTCTCAGCTGATTATTCCTAAGTGGTAGAGGATGGATGGATGGATGGATGGATGGATGGATGGATGGATGGATGGATAGATAGATAGATAGATAGATAGATAGATAGATAGATAGATAGATAGATAGATAGATAGATAGTCTCTACATTTGGGAATAAAGTGTTATTTGAAATACAAGACTAGACTATACCTGGGTGCACGACATATCTTGCCATGTTTAATAGCACTCCACCTTCTTTATTGTGCCCAATCTGTGTCAAAATGATAACTTTTAGAATTATTATTTGGATCTGCAGACTCTTGTAACCTTAGAAAAAGGTGCACTGGTTCAAGTGCAGAAATGGAATGGCAAGGAATCGACAATAAGGAGGAAACTAGTAGATGGGAGAATGGTGGTGGTAAGTTGCTCTTTTTAATCAAGTAAGCATTTTTAGTGTTCCCCATTTCAAAAGAAAACTATAGTATGCTCACATGTTTAATTTGTTAATTGCAATCTTAGGAACTTTTGAACAGCAAGGTATATATTTTGACGACAGCTATACGCTTGAAAAGGGTACACATCAAAAATCTGTTGAAAATATATGTTTAAAATTAAAGAATAAAAATGTGTGGCTTAGCATTTGAATCTGATTTAAGAATGGTTCATGAATGGATGGATTTGAATATGTTCTTCCATAGTTGCTGCTTTAATGCAAATGTTGACTTTGTGGTGGTGTTCATTGGTTAAAACATATGTGTATGCCAATTTGATTAAAACCAAGTTTGGTTTTAAAAGGCCCAAATTACACAAAAATAATGATATTTTCAGCTTTTTACATTAGGAAAAAGAAAGAAAGAAAATGAAGAAGAAAATTATGTAATAAAAGTATGCATGTTGCGTAAAAAGTGGTTGGAGAGATATTTTTCTCAAACTTTCAGATAGAAATACAGTGAAGCTGAAAGGTGAGAGGGTTAAGCCAGATTAAAGGAGGTTAACGGGTAGAATTTGGTACACCATGATTTAGCAATGGTCAATAGCTGGGATGGTTTTAAAAGGGGATTAAACAAATGAAAGAAATATTAATCTAGTTATGGTTACTACTCATGATGGCTATATCATACTTCCAGTAAGTTTTTAGCATTATTTCCCAATGAACATAGTTGAAGAGAACATTGGGTTCTTATCCCGCCTATTGGCTTTCCTACTGTAGACTAGATAGACATTTGATTGTTTCACCAGGCTCTTCTTATGTTCTTAAATTTTTACAGCCATCACTTAGAAATTGTTTTCCACCCCTCTCCTAGAGCTAAATTCAAGACTGCTTCACTTCTTATGGGTTAAAATTATACATACATTGCATATTTCAAGTGACTGGGAGAATCAGTTTCACCTCTTGATCATTAGCATTCAGTCCAGATGAAGTTTCAGGCATATGCTGACATATTTGTTCTTTTTAAATCTTGTGTTCGTTAGAATTAAACAAAAGCATCTTGGACCTTGGTCATTGAATTTTGAAAGGCAACAGTACCATAAGAGATATTGTACATGAAGTCTGGAAAAGAAACCAAAAGCAAATCCATTTAGACATGCTAGCTACACTATTTAACACAAGATTTTGTTATTCATTATTTAATTTTTAAAAAGATGAATTCTCATCTTACATATGTAACTATTCTACAGTAGTGTTGAGGCTGATCATGTGATTATCCCTTTTCTATTATGTCTCAGATTATCTTCCTCTTTTTAGGAATGCATCATGAAAGGCACCATGTGTACAAGAGTTTATGAGAAGATGTGACAAAACTCCAAGTTTGTAACAGATGGAACCGGGTTCTTCAATCCGCATCATTTCCTTGAGTGGGTGGAGAATTGCCATTTCTGTTCATCTTCTTCCTTTTTGCCTTTTACTGGAGAACAACTAAGCTATAACCATTCATTTTTTTAAAAAGCATTGAGAAAGTAGATCACATTTGTGACTAAATAAATGCTTATCATATGTATAAATGTGTTATTTTAGTGAGATGAAATGGCTGTATCCAGCCTTCCTGAGCACACTGTCAATGCACACTTACACTTAGTGAATCTATAGTCATTTTACACAGAAACAGGCATATTCATATTTTCTTTAAATGACATGTTATACAGCCCAGACGTGTGAACGTGGGGTCTTTGGCAATATAAAATAAAATATTCACCATCTCATAATGAAAGGCAAGAGTTTATTTATTTTTTTACTGCAAGCTGTGCTGTGAACCTGAGATTTCAGATGAGGCTAAGGCAGTTTGCAGCTACTTCAAAATCGTCTGAAAGCAGGTCAGACTTTCTGTATCACTTCCCTGATTATCTGCTTCATAGCAGAAAGGGAAGTGAGTGTCAGCAAGAAAGAAAATGAAAGGCTTCACACTCTTTGGCCTTTGGTCCTACCCACTGATTCTTTCAGTTCCATTCAACACTGGCAGCGGGTCCCCAGCCAGGGAGATCTGGGGTGGGGTGGATAGGTGGATGTGACCATGACCACCATTTTGACCGTTTTGATCCCCCCATTCAGATGCCTCTGTCTTAAATCAATTTAATCTTCTTTAGCTTGGTATCTTCCTGATGTGTTGGAATAAAATTCACAGAATTCAATTTATGTCACCTGCAATGCATCTGGAAGTCCACAAGGGAAGGAAGGCAGGCAGGCAGGCAGGCAGGCTACTTTAGGGAATATAACACTTAGTGGTAAAAAGTTTTCTTACTCCTGATTAGAGGTGATGTTTTTCCTTTCAGAACTCAGCTTATACATAAGGAGGTGTTTAGTTCTGCTGCTCATAGCTTTAAAAAGGGTTGTCTGTTCATACCTGAATTAGTGGCCTAGTGTATTTTATTAAGAAAGAAAAAAAATTAGCTGCTCAGCTTTGCAACAGATCTGCCTGGCACATTCTCTATAGAAAAATAGCCATTAGCAGCTGTGTCATGGGAATTAAGAGTCTTTTCCAGAACAGGAAAAGTGCAACTGAGCTGATAGCACAGGAAAAAAAAATAGATGAGGTAGATACTACATCCTATTGATGAACATGCAGCATACAATCAAATTCTAAGCCTTTCTCTTATCAGGGACTCAGATGGATGGGGAGGCCTGAAACCACCCCAATCTTTCTGAAAAATGATCAGACCACATCCTGTGCTTCATTTAACGCAATTTAGGCATGCCAAGCATAACTGAATATACACATACAATACAAATCCAGCCATTTGTTCCATGCATGACTTCCTTTCTCCATCCAACTTATCTAATAACCTGACTGGATCAACTTCTGTTTATGGATGCTTCATAACCTTGTCCACTTTCACAAACAAGTGTCAAAGTATTATAATAGAAGACATGCCTTGTTTTCACACTGTGCCTTCTCCATCCCAGCATCCTCTAGATATGCAGATTCCTAGGAAATCTTGGGAACACATCTGGAAGACATCAGGGTTGAAGATGGCTATGCTAAGCCTTATTACAATGCATTTGGTTTTGGCTTAGTATGATATGTGAACCCTGGTTTTTAAACCATGGTTTAACATAATGTATAAACTTAGCTAATTGCAGTTTTTAAGTAAATCTCATATCAAAACAAGATATGAGACCTAGAGCTGTGACTTCTCCAGTTTAATTAACCAAATAGCAAGCACTATAAAATATTTCCATTTTTAATCTTGAGAAACTGTTATCAGTTAAAATAGGTAATATTAGGCTAGATGAACAAACTAACTTGAGATAACATTTCTATATATATATTTTCCTTTTATTGCTGCCTTCAATCTAATATGATTATAACAATCAATTCTGATTATTAATCATTACAGTATTCTTACATTATTTTTAATAGCACCTTAAGGGTGCATAATTCCTACACCCATTAATGTTATAATCGATATAGGAGAAATAGGAAAATAGGGGAAGGAAGAAGCAAAATGAAATTATTGCATTGTATACTTAGAGATAAAAATCAAATTATAAAAGGTTGCTGGTTGAAAGTAGATTCTCATTCAAGACTGATAAAAGGAAATAGTTCTTGATTACATATGTATGTATGTATTCATTGTATGAGTGATGGAATTCGTTGCTATTAGCCTGGTGGCAGCCAGATTCATAGAGGATGAGGCTAAATATCTACTGGTCACATAGCTGAATTTCTGTCTGGGTCTGGAGGGGAAGAATAGATTGAGACTCAGTCCTAGCAAGACAGGGTGGTTTTGGGTTCAAAGACTTGCCAATTCCAGTGAGTTTCCATTATAATTCTGGACAGGGTTACACTACTCTGTGTGGAATTGGTGCACAGTTTGGGGGTCTTCTTGCACTCACAGCTCTTGCCTGAATAGCAGGTGGCACTGGGGCCAAGCAGGTCTTTGCATAGCTCCATCTTGTGCACCAGTTGAAACCTTTCCTGGAATGGCAGGCATTGCTCACTGCCACTCACACCTTAGTGTGGTTGGACTATTGCAACATGCTTTGCATGGGGCTACTTTCAAAGAGCATCTGGAAGCTACAGCTGGTCCAGAATGTAGCTGGTGGGGTAGTGATGATATACTCTAAGGCACCCACATAAAACCTCTGCTTAGAAAGCTGCCCTGGTTGCCAGTTGGCTTCTGGGTGCAATTCAAGGTGCTGATTGTCACCTTTAAACCCATTTATGGTACAGGGCCTGGGTACCTGTGGGACTGACTTCTCCTAGTGACATCTCTCTGCCTGAAAGTTCCAGTAGGCTGGGCTTTCTATGTGTCCCCTTGGTTAGAGATTGTCATCTTTAGGCACCAATCCCATCCTCTGGAATAGCATTCTCCTGATGGGTAACTGGAGCTTTCCTTCCTGGCATATAGAAAATTGGTGAAAAGATAGTTGTTTCATCAAGCCAGAGTCATGGGGCTGAGGGGAGAGGGAGGCGGATCATTGTGACTGGCTGTTGGGTCATGATTTTGGATCTGTTCATTATTATTGTTGATGTTTTTATTCATGATTCTCAATTCCATAGGACTAATATGCAGACGATTTTTTTAAAAATTGATTGTATGGTTTTAACCCCAATTAATTTAGGATCAGTGGATTGGAATGCCCTATAAGCCCTCTAAATAAAGAAACAAAATCAAACAACTGCAATGGTACAGACCATTTTGCTGATGTCCTGCTTGTGATCTTCCTGGATACATCTGGTTGGTCATGGTGAAACACAGAACTCAAAACAGATAGCCTTTAGCCTAACCTGGCAGCATTGTTCATACAGTTTTATGTTCTTGGGTGGTACAGTACAACTGCAACTCTAGCACTGGTGAAATTCTTCATGAATCCATCAGATATAGATTTGTAATACACTCCAGGCAGTAAAGTTGATTGGATATTATGTTATACCATAAGTGGTCTGTTGGCGTTTTGATAGTTTAACAGATTCTATACACCTAGGCACTGTGGTG